GCAACTCCAGAATTTAAATTTTCTCAACTTCAAATCCCACAGCAAAGAAAACACAATTTGTTGCCTAGGAACTCAAGACAATTTACTGCTTTTCATTGTGCCTGAGTGAGGCAAATGTCCATCCCTGAGCCAACCACAGTGTCCAGGGGAGCGTAATGTGCTGAGTGTGACCACTTAGAGTCAGGGCTGGTGGGGTCCACTGTGTCCAACACTCTGGATGAGGGACATCAGAGAAAGGGTGAGTCTTGGTCACAGCATCAGAATCCTGATCCTGAAACCAGCTCTGTGCTAGTTGTTGTGGGTTCAGATCTATGGGATTCTCTCTTTGCTGAAACCAACTTGGGTCTGGGTTTGTATTGTTACTACTTTCAACAGAAGTTCTAATTGGGAAAAAAAAGGGGTGGGACAATATTCATATATATAGTATGGTTCCATTTTTGCTAAAGTGAAAGCTGTGTGTGTATGATGTGTGTGTTTGTGTAAAAGTCTGTACAAGTCGTTCCTGGGTTACAAACATCCTACTTTCAGATAACCCCATAGTTATTAACCAACCCCCATGAAGCGTATTGAAGGAGCTCTGGTAGCGTAGTGGTTACGAATCTGGTTGTGAACCTCAAGGTCGGCAGTTCGAAACTACCAGCTGTTCTGAGAGAAAGATGGGGCTTTCTGCTCCTGTAAAGATTTACAGCCTTGGAAACCCTGTGCAGGGTTGCTATGCATCGGAACCGACTCCACGGCACATAACAACAACAGCAGCCTATTATATTAAAATTTAAAAGTGGATACAACAGTTCATAATAACAAATCGGTGCTACTTTTTGACACCCTTCAAAACATTATCACTATTATCACTGTATTAGTATGTTAAAGTGTATCTGGAAGTGTTTCCTTCATGCTGTTTTGTGCATAGTAAGGTACACTACATACTAGTACTTATACTAAGACGGATATCTGATTGATGTTAGATCTGAACCATACCAGCGGTTCTGACTCATGTACAAATTCAACTTCAATGCAGAGGTTGGTTATATCTGGATAGCAGGATCCGAGGGCATTTCCAGTTTCTCCTTTGAGTCTTCTCTAATTGTTCCTTCTTGAGCACAAATTGTGGTGTGATGAAGGGACATGTTGATTAGTCTTGACAAAGACTTTTGAGCTCATCCTTTCGGGAGGCTGAAAGGAACCTCATCTAATCGATTGTTCGTGTTGTAGGCAAGAACATGAAACAGACAAACTGCTCCTTCGATGATGTGAATGAACAGATACGAATCTTGCAGCTGATAGTCCACATTCCCACCTGCATTCTGGGCTTAATCCTCAACGTGCTGGCCATCCGAAGTTTCAGCATCTTCCTGAAGAAGAGGCGGCCATACTACGCTTCCACTTGCATCTGCATGATCAACCTGGCGGTCTTTCACCTGCTGCTGGTGCTCTCCCTCCCGTTCAAAATGTTTCTCTCCAACAATAAGTTGTATCATTTGCCTTCCTTCTGCACCATGATAGAGTGCCTCTACTTTGTCAGCATGTATGGAAGCATCTACACCAACTGCTTAATCAGTCTAGACCGCTTCTTGGCCATCCAGTACCCACTCCTGTCCAGCTACATCCGCTCGCCCAAGAAGATCGCCATGACCTGCTGCATCATCTGGGTCCTGGTGGGGACTGGAACTATCCCTATCTACAAGTTCCATGAGCCAGAGGGAGAGTTCAGATGCTTCCACAACCTGTCGAAAAGCACCTGGAGTGCGGAAGTCATCTTCCCCTTAGAGGTGTTTGGGTTCCTTCTTCCCTTGGTCATTGTTGGTTTCTGTTCCTCCAAATGCATTCACATTCTCCTTGGCCGTCGGGACTACACCCAGGACTGGATCCAGCAGAAAGCTTGTATCTACACCATCGCAGTCAATCTGGCTGTCTTTGTGGTCTCCTTTCTACCAGTGCATCTTGGTTTCTTTCTACAGTTCCTGGTAAGGAATGACATTATCCAGGAGTGCAGAGCTCAGCAGAACATCAGCTTCTTCTTACAATTGTCCCTGTGTCTCTCCAATACCAACTGCTGCCTGGATGTTTTCTACTACTACTTTATCATCAAAGAATTCCGAATGGACATCATGGCACACCAGCCTTCCAGCAGCCACCTGGTCCTTCAGGACACAATGACCACCAGGACCGGAGGGACAAGAAATTGCTCAGATGAAAATGACCTCAGCCCCGAATTCTAGTAGTAGGTGTCCTGACCCAAGGTATTTGATAAGGTGGGATGATTTGTAGAGTACTAATCCCTGCTATGCTTTTCCTTTCGATGCTGAATGAACATCATCTTCGCTCATTGTACCCCAAAGAACTTTCCCTAAGACCCAGACAGCTTGACTTGAATCACCCAGTGTTTGGGAATTTCTGAAGAAACTGAAAACTAGATGAATTTATGATTTCTAAGTCTAAAAGTTTTGAAAAGGCAGAAGAGTTGAGAGACTGAGCAGACCATCTGAACAATACTTTGTTAACTCTACCTTGTCTTTCTAATAGACTATTAAATTCTGTAGAGGAAAAATGACAGAGAGAGAAAGAAGAGTTAAGAGAGGGAATCAAGATCATCCTCCAAATCCCTGAGTAGCCATTGCCGCAGCCATGATGCCAAAACAAAAGAAGGAGAATCCGCAGCACCAGCCTCCACTGTCGCAGCCCCCATTGCCAGAGCGGGAAGAGACTGAAGAAGAGGATGACGGGAGTTCCATCGGACCACCCATCCTTCTGGGTCCTCCCCCCATGGCCAATGGAAAGCCTGGTGACCCCAAGGATCAAGTGGACCATTGATTCCACCACTGCTGAGTCTCCCACCTCTTCCCTGGGGTAGAGGCCCAATGTGAAGAAACCTAGGTCCCAGGTTCGGCCCATATGGTCATGGTTGGTGGGGCATCAATGCTGAACCTCTTTTTCCAGGACCAGGTCATGAGGCCCCCCGCAAAGAGCAGAGAAACCCTTGAAGGCTCAAAAGCTGGTCTCTCATCAAGAACACCTGTCCACCTAAGGATGGACCCCAGGTTATGAAAGACAAATCCAACCATCCCATCTGCAGACACTTTGCCAAAGAGGGCTGGGTTCTCATGAGAAGCAAAACTAGTGATACTTGTATACATACAGAGAGGTTTCTATCAAGTAAATGGTTCACACAGTTGTAGAGGTGGGCAACGTCAAAGTCTGTTGGTCAGATGTCAGTCAGATGTCTTCTGACTCTTGTAGCTGTAGGAACTGATGACCCCAAGATCAGACAACAGGTTTCTGACTGCAGAGGTGAATGAATCCAAGGTTGGCTGGTAAGATGGCAGGCAATATAACAGGCTGCTGGCTCAAGTCCAAAGAACCAGAAGTCAGATGATGAGTCAGGTGCAGGATCCAGACTCAGGAAAAATCAAGCATCTTTGCCTGAATGTCCAGTATACTGGAAACATGCCAAACTTCCAAGGAAACTTCCTTTCAATTGATTGACTACTCACAGCAGCTCTTATTATGGTGGTGATTATATCAGATCTCACTGTGGGAAATTAACTGCAAAGCCACTGAAAATCCTGGCCCAGTCAAGTTGGCACAAAGCCTTAACTACCTGAGAGGCTCTGATGTCAAGTGGTGGACAAAGGACTCTAGGGCCACTTAGATAAAACCCAGTGCCTGCTGGGGACATGCTGAATCCGTGTCCAGGCTTGAAACTCTGTAGCTGGCTCTGGGAAGGGCATGGAATGCGAGAGAGAATGGGCAGGAAGAGCTGAGGGCAGAGTTGCTTCTGGCCTCATTTCCCCCAACTAGACTGAGAGCCATTCAAGGGCAGAAGCCCCCTTTTTCTCCTGCTGCCCCAAGGCCTGACTCCTGTTCAGGGACACACTGGGAGCCTTAGAGGTGGCTAGAGTGATGGATGAGGAAGAATGGATCAGTGAAAGGGTGATTGTGTCAAGGACAAGAGACTCCAGCCCTGCCCCCTTGAATGAGGCAGAGATCTGTTCAGATGTCCCTAACCCTGGACATTCTTCTTCTGCTGGCCTTTGGCCTTTTGCCCCACTACTGAGCTGGACAGACATCACCAGTGCTACTTTTAGAGACCCAGACTGTCATAGATAGCAGGACACTTGGGGTTGGATTGGGATCTAAACTCAGAATCTATGTATGGGTGGAGTTAGGGACTGCCCCTGGTCCAAATGTATCTCTTTATATCTGGAGCTTGGAGGCCACTCTGGTGGGGGTGAGTGGGGCTTTTGATGCTGAACTGGGTCTACAAGGTACAGCAGGGACTGGATCACTCACCATCCCAGCAAGGCGCAGACTTAAATATAAATTCTTGTCTATGGGTAGCTTGGCTCTATATCTGAGCCAGGTGACAGGAAAGGATCTAGATGCCCGAGATAAGGATCACCACAAGAGCAGACAGTCTAGATAGATCCACCATCTGGGTCTTCTAGATAGATCCATCAGCTCAGCCTGCTAGATAGATCTACCAGCTGAGTATTCTACATAGATCCACCAGTTGGGTTTTTTTCTAGATGGATCCACTAGCTGGGTCTTCTATATGGATCCACCAGCTGGATCTTCTAGATAGATCTACCAGCCCAGCCTGCTAGATAGATCTATAAGCTACTGTGGGTCTATGGCTGAGTTTGGAGATCTTCTGATTGAGCCCAACACCCTGAAGGGAGGAGGGGATCTGCTCTTTCTCACCATGGGAACCCACACTGCCTTGTGAATCACAGAGAACTCATCAGAGACGTAGGTTGGGCACTGCAGTCAGGGTAGCTGCTCTTCCAAAGGTTCATTCGCTGGCTCCAGGAGCCACAATGCCACCGAGCCTGGCCCCTGATCAGCCCAGCAGGAACAGAAGAGGATCAAGTGCCACCTCTAGGTGAGCATGTAACTGAGGGCCCATCCCCCAAGCAACCAGAAACTGGCGAGTCAAGCACCCCCAACAAACTTCCTGTCACTAAAGTCAGTGGTATAAATGTGCCTGTATTTGTCTTCCTAGATTGGAAAAACCTTATATGTCTGTTATAAAATCATTGTGAAACTAACACAATTAACTCGAATAAATGATTCAATTCATCTGGTTTACCAAATAAAGTGATTTGTATGAAGTTGCGTGACCTTGTCTTGGACAAGAAGAGCTGAGCCCCTCATGGCCCTTGTCAGGTGACCCAACACTCATGATTCTTCAGTCATCACCTAGACATGGAATCAGAGGCCACAGGGCGCTGGTACTCAGTCTGCTGCTGAGAAACACTGTGCTTGTCCCTGGGGGCCAGGAGCCAGACCCCAGGTATCCCCACCACAGTTCTTCCCCACTCTTTGCTCACACCATCTGTCCCATACCACCATGACCACCAGAGCTCCTTCTGAAGGTCCTGCCCCCATGTACACCATATGGCCCACCAAAAGAGACTGGCTGGCCTCTAAGGAGCTGAAAACCCAGGCTCTGCTCTGCAGTAGTCCCCTGCTAGTGACCTCCCCCTCCACTTCCCTGGCTACCTACAACACAACCTGACTCTCCGGGGGGGGGGGGGGGGGTGGGGATGGGTTGGTTCTCAGGTGCCGCAAGCCGAATTTCTGAGGTTTGTCAAATCTCTATGGAGCAAAAATCCTCATCATTCTCCCATGGACCTGTGCAGTTCAGACTCATTGGCCACTTCCCAGAAACCTTATACAGGGTCGCTATGGGTCAAAATCGACTTGATGGCACTTAACAACAACAACACAGAGTTTCCAGGGAGCAACTAGGAGGTTTGAATTGCCCTTGTGGTTAGCAGTCCAGTGCTTACCCTACAGTGCCACAACGGGACTCCAACTCTCTGGTTAGAGCTAAGTTTTTCTTTTTGGTTCCTCACATGTGAATCATGCCAACCAGTCCAGAACTGCTGGATGCTGAGCTTGGGGCCACCTCTTTCTCCTGAGCTTTCCGGATGCTAAGCTGAGCCCAGTCACATCAGGGTGTCACCTCCTGGTGACTCAGGAGCCAGCGCACATCTAGACCAGGCCCTAGACAGGAACTGACATGGGAAATGCCAGCCAGCAAGCTGCATGCATCAACTATGAGGGGCTTCTAAAGGTTTCTGGGAAAACACCAGCATCCTTTGATTCCATCTTTAGAAGCCCCTTGTATAATCAGTTCTCATTATTTGAAGTAGTTATATTCTATTGAAGTCACCAGGAATGCTGAATTAATGAATATTGAACTATTGCTCTCAGGGGAAATGCAAGTCTCTGGTTACATTTATATCAATTGATCAAAACATAACTTCTTTTTATGAAGAGACTTCAATTAAGTCCATGGGAAAATTCCATTATCTTTCAATTCCATGTTTTCATGAACTTGTTGAAGCCCCCTTGTCTATTCCTTTTTAATCACCTTTCTGAGGTCTTGTGAAGCTGAAAGTCACTATATTAATGCTGTGGACCTGTAGCTGTTATTCTCACAGGATTGCTGGGATACAGTATAGTATGATGCAGGACAGTATAGGTGCCGTCAGGTTGGTTTGAACCCATAGTGACCCGATGTACAACAGAATAAAACATCGTCCAGTTCTGTGCCATCCTCGCAATCGCTGCCACACCTGAGCCTGTAGCTGCTGCCACCGTGCCAGTCTGTCAGGTTGTGGGTCTCCCTCTTTTTCACTGACCCTCCCCTTGACCAATCCTTCTCCAGGGACTAGTCCCTCCTGATAAAATGTCCGAAGTATGAGAGATGGAGTCTGGTATAGTGTGTTGTTATTAAGTACTGTCCAGTTGGTTACGAGCCATAGCAACCCTGTATAGGGTTTCCAACAAGCGACTGGTGGGTTTGAACTGCCAATGTTGTGGTTCAAACTGACTTTACAGTCCAGTGCAGTATCCTGCAGTGCCACACCAGGACTCCTGATATAGTATTGGTTGGTTGGTTATGTGACGTGGAAGTCTATTCCGACTCATAGCAACCCTGTACAAGGTTTCTGAGGCTGTAAATCTTTATGGGAGCAGAAAGCCTCATCTTTCTCCCATGGAACAGATGGTAGTTTTTGGCGACCATCTTGTAACCACTATGCTACCAGAGCTCCTTTGACCTAGTATTGCTGTGAATGTTATTAAGTGCCGTCGAGTGGGTTCCAAGCCATAGTGACCCTGTATATGATTTCCAAGGAGCAGCTGGTGAGCTTGAACTGCTAACCTTATGGTCCAAGCTGACTTTGGAGTTCTGGTGTGATGCTATGAA